ATTACTGGCCAAAAGCCTGATCCCAGAGCCATGTTTTCACTTTTTTTCCTGAACGTCAGGAGGGATGGGGCAGATCTAATTTCACTGGGGAAGGGGTTCCATAGGTGAGGGGCCACCACTGAGAAGGCCCTGTCCCTTGTCCACACCAGTCGTGCTTGCGAGGGGGTTGGGACTGAGAGCAGGGCCTCCCCCGACAATTAACCTCCTCTGGAATGTGTCCAGAGGAGAGCGACTAAAATGATAAAAGGTCTGGAGAACAAGCCCTATGAGGAGCGGCTAAAGGAGCTGGGCATGTTTAGCCTGAAGAAGAGAAGGCTGAGAGGGGATATGATAGCCATGTATAAATATGTGAGAGGAAGCCACAGGGAGGAGGGAGCAAGCTTGTTTTCTGCTTCCCCGGAGACTAGGACGCGGAACAATGGCTTCAAACTACAAGAGAGGACATTCCATCTGAACATGAGGAAGAACTTCCTGACTGTGAGAGCCGTTCAGCAGTGGAACTCTCTGCCCCGGAGTGTGGTGGAGGCTCCTTCTTTGGAAGCTTTTAAACAGAGGCTGGATGGCCATCTGTCAGGGGTGATTTGAATGCAATATTCCTGCTTCTTGGCAGGGGGTTGGACTGGATGGCCTGAGGTCTCTTCCAACTTTGATTCTATGATTCTAGGTGGGTCATAGAAGGAGATATGTTTGGACAGGTAAACTGGGACAGAACCATTTAGGGCTTTGTAGGCTAAAGCCAGCACTTTGGATTGTGCTCGGAAGCAGACTGGCAGCCAGTGGAGCAGACGTAACATGAATCTGACTGCCACACGTTGACCATTTGGCAAGCTTGACAGTTCAAATGGTGTCAAACCACATCCATTCTATCATAACACATGTAACATGACAACGTTTGTTCCTGGATCATCAATGTCATTTCCTAATCGCTTCTATCATTAAAACATAGAGAGAAAGTGTATCAAACTGTAAAAACTTTGTTTTTGCGGGAGGGACATTGTGCAGCAGATTTTGCTCTCGTTTTTCAATGAGACTCACTATCGAGTCTCAACCAATTCAATGCAGTTTGTGCCACAAAAACAAAGTTTCTGGAGTAGAATAACGACTTTCAAAGTAAGGACCACGCAATTAAAAGTAATAACACTTTTAAACCAGGAACAGATTTTTTTTTCAAATTTTGTTACATAGTGTTGCTATTATTATTATTACATATATACTAGAGCATAAACCTAGTTTTTTAGCTCTTTCTTAAGGTTGAAAAAGCCCCCCCTCGGCTTATACTCGAGTCAAAGTTATTTTTTATTTTACTCTGTTATTATTTTATTACATTTACTATTTTACTCTATTATTACATTTACATTATTTTATTCTATTGTTATTTTTATTACATTGATTATTTTTCTATATTTATTATTATTATTATTATTATTATTATTATTACATTTACTTTCTTTGACTCCCTTATTATTTTTATTACATTTATTCTTCTTTGTTATTTATTATTATTATTACATTTATTATTTTACTCTATTTATTATTATTTTATTATTATATTTATTATTTTACTCTATTTATTGGTATCTATTTTTATTTTTAAATTTACCAGTAGCTGCTGCATTTCCTACCCCTGGCTTATACTCGAGTCAGTATGTTTTCCCAGTTTTCTGTGGTAAAATTAGGCGCTTCGGGTTTTATTTGGGTCAGCTTATACTCGAGTATATACAGTATGTTTATTTTTACTCCGCTTCAATCAAGAGTATTTTAATAATGCACCCTGCCTCTTCTAATGTCTATGAGGCTGGGTGGCCATCTGCCAGGAGGGATTGGATAGTGTCTTCCTGAATGATAGAATGGAACTGGACTGCAAGGGCCCTTGGGGTCCCTTCCAATCTAGGTGGGTAATAAAAAAGCATTATTATTATTATTATTATTATTATTATTATTATTAAATACAATATAAAATAATAAAATATTTTAATGATGCAACCTGTCTCAGTGAGAGGTGGGTAAAGAAAAAGCATAGTAATAACATCTACACAAATGACCAGCCACTGCCAGAAGGGACAGAGAGTTTCATCTATGCTGATGATCGTGCCATTACTGCTCAAGCAGGGAGCTTTGAGATGGCAGAACAGAAGCTTTCCGAAGCTCTAGGTGCTCTTACTGCCTATTACAGGAAAAACCAGCTGATCCCCAACCCATCCAAAACACAGACATGTGCCTTTCATCTCAAGAACAGACAAGCATCCCGAGCTCTGAAGATCACCTGGGAAGGAATCCCACTGGAGCATTGCAGCGCACCCAAGTACCTGGGAGTCACTCTGGACCGTGCTCTGACCTACAAGAAGCACTGCCTGAACATCAAGCAAAAAGTGGGTGCTAGAAACAATATCATACGAAAGCTGACTGGCACAACCTGGGGATCACAACCAGACACAGTGAAGACATCTGCCCTTGCGCTATGCTACTCTGCTGCTGAGTACGCATGCCCAGTGTGGAACACATCTCACCACACTAAAACAGTGGATGTGGCTCTTAATGAGACATGCCGCATTATCACGGGTGTCTGTGCCCTACACCACTGGAGAAATTACACTGCTTAGCCGGTATTGCACCACCTGACATCCGCCGGGAAGTAGCAGCCAATAGTGAAAGGACCAAGGCAGAGACATCTCCAGCTCATCCCCCTGTTTGGGTATCAGCCAGCACGTCAATGACTTAAATCAAGAAATAGTTTTCTAAGATCTACAGAGACACTCGCAGGAACGACCTCAGCAAGCGAGAGTCCAAAAGTGGCAGGCTCAAACCCAGCACCTCAACCAATGGCTGATACCAAATGATATACAGAAGACTGGGCGACTTGGAAGGCACTTGGAAGGCACTGAACAGACTGCGCTCTGGCACCACGAGATGCAGAGCCAACCTTCAGAAATGGGGCTACAAAGTGGAATCCTCGACATGAGAGTGTGGAGAAGAGCAAACCACTGACCACCTGCTGCAATGCAACCTGAGCCCTGCCACATGCACAATGGAGGACCTTCTTGCAGCAACACCAGAGGCACTCCAAGTGGCCAGATACTGGTCAAAGGACATTTAATCAACTACCAAACTCACACGTTTTGTATTTTCTGTTTGTTTGCTTTGTTCTGTTAGAAATGTAATATAATGGACTGGTTGCTCTGACACGACAAATAAAAGTGGGACCACCAATACCAAAAACACAGCACCGACCAATATATCAAATAAGAAAGTATAATATATAAAATAATAGAATAAGATAATGCATATAATGTACAATATAAAACAAAATAAAACAAAATATAATATATCCAATATAAAATGAAATATAAAATATAAACAACTATATAATAAAATATAATAAAATAAAATAAAACAACATATACTAAATAAAACAAAACAAAGTATAATATATAAAATATAAAATAATAAAACGAAACATAATCTATAATATAGAAAATAGAAAAAGATAAAACATAACGTACGATATCAAAAGAAAAGAAAACGTAAAATAGAATACATAAAATATAAAATGAAACATAAAATATATAGGTAAAGGTAGTCCCCTGACATTAAGTCCAGTCATGTCTGACTCTGGGGTGGTGCTCATCTCCATTTCTAAGCCGAAGACCCAGCGTTGTCCGTAGACACCTCCAAGGTCATGTGGCCGGCATGACTGCATGGAGCGCCGTTACTTTCCCGCCGGAGCGGTACCTATTGATCTACTCACATTTGCATGTTTTCGAACTGCTAGGTTGGCAGAAGCTAGGGCTGACAGCGGAAGCTCACGCCGCTACCCGGAATCGAACCTGCAACCTTTCGATCAACAAGCTCAGCAGCTCAGTGCTTTAACCCACTGCGCCACCGGGGGCTCCTTATAATATATACAACAATGTAATAAAACAAAATCTAAAAAATAGAATACAACATAAAACGAAACAAAATAAATCTAATAATTGTTCTCACTCTTTCGATATTACACCTTAATTCACCTATGAAACAACCCAATAAAAAGTTCAATGACAAAATAAAATAAAATAAAACAAAACAAACAGCTCAACCATTCCATGCGTTCGTTCCAAGTGAAAGGAAGGGCATTGTCACCTAGACTCCTCCGGAAGCTCTTCTATGAAGCCAGATTCACACCTTGGGCAAATGTAGTCCTGTAAAAGAAAACAGCAACGATTAAGACCACACACACACACACAAAAGCGGTGAAGGCATAAATGTGGGACATGATTTTGTCATCAATCTCTAACTCCCCAGATCCATGACAAATGACATTCACTCAACGGTGGAGATGAACCCAAAAGTAAACACGAAGGGATACCAAGGGCTCAATCTAGATTTATATCCAGGTCTTCCCAATATAGTAACTAGGAACCAAAGGCAACCCAGTCCTGGGAGAAAAGAGGGGTGCAAATAATTGATATTAATACTAAAAATAACTATTAAACTCTACTTTGCAGCTATAAGAATTGAACTAGCATTTCCATCCATAAAAAACAGATATTTAAAGCAGGAAAATTCTCCAAATTCCTTAAGATTTGAAAGTGGTTTGAGTTCAAATTCCTGTTTGAGCATAGAAAGCAATGGTTGACTACTACCACTACTACTACTATTATTATTATATCCTGCTTTTGGTTTGACATTGAAGTCCTGTTCGGCTATGGATGACATCATCATCATCATCATCATCATTATTAAATACTACTTTTCTCTCTTGATTGAGAGATTATTATTATTCTTCCCTGCTTTTCTCTTGAGAGATTATTATTATATTCTGCTTTTCTCTTGATTGAGAGATTGTAATACTAATATTATCTCTCTATAGCAAAAAGGAGAATATAATAATAATAATAATAATATAATCTCAATCATGAGAAAAAAGCAGGATATAAATATAATAATAAAAATAATAATTTTCAATCATGAGAGAAAAGTATATAATAATAATAATAATAATAATAATAATAATCTCAATCCAGAGAGAAAAGCAGGATATATTAATATGAATAATAATATCTCTCAATCAAAAGAGAAAGGCGGGATATAATAATATTGTTGGCATTATTATTAGTGATGATATTATTATTGATAGTATTCTTATTATGACTGATGTCATTACTGCAGAAATTAATCGCAGTGTGGGCATAATTCTGTTTTTTAATATTTTGCTATATTTCTACATTGTTGGTTTTTAAATTGCCTTGCTTTAAAAAGGGGATGGGCTGCTTTTGGGTCTCAATCCAGAGAGAAAAGCAGAATATAATATTAATGTTAATAAAAATAACAATAGTAGTAATTCTCAATCAAGAGAGAAAAACAGGATGTAATTATAACATCACGAATATTAATATCAGCAACAATAGCACTAATTAAAATATCAGCAATAACATCACTAATAATAATATTAACAATAATAAAAACACTATCAATATTAACACTAATAATATCAGCAATATTATCAATAAGAATACTATCAGTAATAACAACAACCATATCACTGTGTTCTCAAAGGTTTTCATGGCTGGAATCACTGGGTTGCTGTGAGCTTTCTGAGCTGTATGGCCATGTTGTAGAAGCATTCTTTCCTGACATTTTGCCTGCATCTCTGGCAGACATCCTCAGAGGTTGTGAGGTTTGTTGGAAACAAGGCAAGTGGGGTTTATATATCTGTGGAATGATGTCCAGGGTGGGAGAAAGAACTCTTGTCTGTTGGAGCAAGTGTGAATGCTACAATTGGCCACCTTGATTAGCATTGAACAGCCTGGCAGCTTCAAGGCTCGGCTGTTTCCTGCCTTGGGGAATCCTTTGTTGGGAGGCAATGAGCTGTCCCTGTCTGGAATTCCCCAGTTTCTTGAGTGTTGCCCTTTATTTACTGATCTTTGTCCCAGTCTTGCAGCTCTTCAGATATCTGAGGTGGAGTATCTATTGGCCTGTAGAGCCAATCAATATTTATGCTCATGGATTTCAATGGCTTCTCTGTGTAGTCTGACATGGTAGTTGTGAGAGTGGTCCAGCATTTCTGTGTTCTCCAATAATATGCTGTGCCCAGGTTGGTTCATCAGGTGCTCGGCTATGGCTAACTTCTCTGGCTGGATTAGTCTGCAGTGCCTTTGCTGTTCCTTGATTCGTGTTTGGGCACTGTTTGGGATTCCCAAACAACAAACGGGGAATCCGTGGGGAGACAAAGGATTCCCCTAGGCAGAAAGCAGCCAGGTGTTGAAGCTGCAAGGCCATTCAATGCTAATCAAGCTGGCCAATGGCAACATTCCCACTTGCCTCAAACAAACAAGAGTTATTTCTCCCACCCTAGACATTATTCCTTACCTTTACTTAGGCGACCCTCGTTGTCCGAGTAGGATTGCCTTCCAAGATCGGTGTACTGGCGGTGGGTCCGTAGGTGACTGTGGAGCCCTATTCTTGATCTGCATCTTCTCCCGCAGTGAGGGCATTGGTTTCCAGGTGGAAGGCGGTCCAGTCGGGGTTGGCTTGACACGCCTTCCTCTTGGCATGTTTCTCTCTTTCACCCTCCATTCGTGCCTCTTCAAATTCTACAGCACTGCTGGTCACAGCTGACTTCCAGCTGGAGTGTTCAAGGGCCACGGCTTCCCAGATCTCAGTGTCTTATGCCAGAGTTTTTAAGGTTGGCTTTGAGCCCATCTTTAAATCCCTTTTCCTGCCCTCCAACATTCAGTTTTCCGTTCTTGAGTTCGGAGTAGAGCAACTGCTTTGGGAGACGGTGGTCGGGTATCCGGACAATGTGGCCGGTCCAGCGGAGTTGATGGCGGAGGACCATTGCTTCAATGCTGGTGGTCTTTGCTTCTTCCAGCACGCTGACGTTTGTCCGCTTGTCTTCCCAAGAGATTTGCAGGATTTTCCGGAGGCAGCACTGATGGAATTGTTCCAGGAGTTGCATGTGACGTCTGTAGACAGTCCATGTTTCGCAGGCATATAGCAGGGTTGGGAGGACAATAGCTTTATAGACAAGCACCTTGGTATCCCTACGGATGTCCCGGTCCTCAAACACTCTCTGCTTCATTCGGAAAAATGCTGCACTCGCAGAGCTCAGGCGGTGTTGTATTTCGGTGTCGATGTTGACTTTGGTGGAGAGGTGGCTGCCAAGGGAGCGGAAATGGTCAACATTTTCTAATGTTACACCATTAAGCTGTATATCTGGCATTGGAGAGGGATTGGCTGGTGACTGCTGGAAGAGCACTTTGGTTTTTCGATGTTCAATGACAGGCCGAGCTTCTCGTATGCTTCTGCGAAGGTGTTTAGAGTGGCTTGTAGGTCTTCTTCTGAATGCGCACAGATGACATTGTCATCAGCATACTGGAGTTCTATAACAGATGTTGTTGTAACCTTGGTTTTGGCTTTCAGTCTGCTGAGGTTAAACAGCTTGCCATCTGTCTGATAGATGATTTCCACTCCGGTGGGAAGCTTCCCGTCAACAAGATGAAGTATCATAGCGATGAAGATGGAGAATAAAGTTGGGGCAATAACACATCCCTGTTTTTATTCCACAGGTATATAAATCTCACTTGCCTCATTTCCAACAGACCTTACAACCTCTGAGGATGCCCGCCATAGATGTGGGCGAAACGTCAAGAGAGAATGCTTCTGGAACATGGCCATACAGCCCGGAAAATTCATAACAACCCAATAATATCAATAATAGTATCAGCAATCATTTCACCAATAAGATCACTAATAATATCAACAACAATATCACTCAAAACAGTAACAGTAATAATATCAATAATATCAATAATAATAAAGCTAGCCATAATAATATTAATAAGGGTAAGAATGCTATCACTAATAATAATATCAATGTATTGCCAAAGGCTTTCATGGCCGGAATCACTGGGTTGTTGTAGGTTTTTTGGGCTGTATGGCCATGTTCTAGAGGCATTCTCTCCTGACGTTTTGCCACTACCACTGAGGATACGTGACATACATGCAGGCGAAACGTCAGGAGAGAATGCTTCTAGAACATGGCCATATAGCCCGAAAAGACCTAAAACAACCCAATAATAATATCAGCAACAATATTACTCATAACAATAATAGCTCATAATAACAATACTAAAGCGATCATTAACATCAATAATGATATTGTCGAAGGCTTTCGTGGCCAGAATCATTGGGTTGTTGTAGGTTTTTTCGGGCTAGATGGCCATATTCTAGAGGCATTCTCTCCTGACGTTTCGCCTGCATCTATGGCAAGCATCCTCAGAGGTAGTGACCTCACTACCTCTGAGGATGCTTGCCATAGATGCAGGCGAAACGTCAGGAGAGAATGCCTCTAGAACATGGCCATATAGCCCGAAAAAACCTACAACAACCCAATAATAATATCAGCAACAATATCACTCATAACAATAATTGCTCATAATATCACTACTAAACCGATCATTAACATCAATAATGATATTGTCGAAGGCTTTCATGGCCAGAATCACTGGCTTGTCGTAGGTTTTTCGAGCTATATTGCCATGTTCTAGAAGCATTCTCTCCTGACGTTTCACCTGCATCTACGGCAAGCATCCTGAGAGGTAGTGACGTCTGAGGATATTACTCATAACAATAATAGCTCATAATATCAATACTCAAGCAATCATTAACATCAATAACTATATTATCGAAAGCTTTCATGGCCGAAAACACTGGGTTGTTGTAGGTTTTTCGAGATATATGGCCATGTCCTAGAGGCATTCTGTCCTGACGTTGCGCCTCACTACCTCTGAGGATACTTGCCATAGATGCAGGCGAAACGTCAGGAGAGAATGCCTCTAGAACATGGCCATATAGCCCGAAAAAACCTACAACAACCCAATAATAATATCAGCAACAATATTACTCATAACATTAATACTGATATTGTCGAAGGCTTTCATGGCTGGAATCACTGGGTTGTTGTAGGTTTTTCGAGCTATATGGCCATGTTCTAGAGGCATTCTCTCCTGACATTTCGCCTGCATCTATGGCAAACATCCTCAGATGAAAATTTATTTATTTTTATTTACTTTATTTATATACCGCTTTTCTCAGCCCTCAGGCGACTCAAAGTGGTGAACAACATCAATACAAAACATCATGAGACAAGTATAAGCATCCTCAGAGGCGAAACGTCAGGAGAAATGCCTCTAGAACATGGCCATATAGCCCGAAAAAACCCACAAGAACTGAATTGTAACATATAATGTAAATAGGGGATTAATAGGTTTCATTCGAGAGAGAGAAAAAACACAGAAAAATCCCTAAAACTAATAACTAAAATTAATTAAAACCAATGACAAACAATAATCCCCCCCTCCAAACAAACCCCCAATTTGATTGTGATTTGAAGCAGAATGAAGATGTAAAATAAATGGAGAGTGCGTTGTCGAAGGCTTTCGTGGCCGGAATCACTGGGTTACAGTTTGTGTGGAAATGCTCTAGAAGCATTCTCTCCTGACGTTTCGCCTGCATCTATGGCAGGCATAGGATGCTTGCCATAGATGCAGGCGAAACGTCAGGAGAGAATGCTTCTAGAAGAAGAAAAACCTACAACAACCCCTCTATAATGATATCAATAACAGTAAGAATACTCTCAATCATATCACCCCAGCAACAGTATCGCTGATGATAATAATAATGTCTCTAGTAATGAGAGGGCCAAGAACCATGTCAGGAAGACGATCCTTCATGAGGATCAGGTCACTCTTCCCGGGGGGTGATGGGAGCTGCAGTCCCGCTCGCTTGGAAGAGAAAGAGGCCTAGTCTCCGGGGAGACTGGGGGGGGGAGTAGGGAGGGGGTGATGGGCCGGCCCTGCCTGCCTGCTTTCCTGTGAGCGCCTCACCGGCAGCCGCGGGGCGATCTCGGCCGAGCAGCAATGGCAGAAGAAGCGTCCCGGCTGTGGGGAGGCCTCCGCCATTTTTCCGCCGCCGCCGCCGCTTCCTCTTCCGCCCCCAAGGGGAGGGGAGAGGGCCGCGACGACGCTCTTGCGTCATCCGCATGACGCCCCCTTGATGTCACCACGCGCCACCTACGGCGGCCCACCAGGGACCTACACTAACTGCCCAGTGAATAATGGGGATCATCCGGATCATGGGGATCATAATAATAATAATAATAATAATAATAATAATAATAATAATAATAATAATAATGTCCTGGAGAATCAGCTAATAATAATAATAATGTCCTGGAGAATCAGCTAATAATAATAATAATAATAATAATAATAATATAATAATAATAATAATAATAATAATAATAATAATAGTTTATATTAATATAATAATAATAATAATAATAATAATAATAATAATAATAATGTTCTGGATAATCAGCTAATCATAATATAATAATAATAATAATAATAATAATAATAATAATGTTCTGGATAATCAGCTAATCATAATATAATAATAATAATAATAATAATAATAATAATAATAATAATAATAATGTTCTGGATAATCAGCTAATCATAATATAATAATAATAATATAATAATAATAATAATAATGTTCTGGATAATCAGCTAATCATAATAATAATAATATAATAATAATAATAATGTTCTGGATAATCAGCTAATCATAATATAATAATAATAATAATATAATAATAATAATGTTCTGGATAATCAGCTAATAATAATAATAATAATATAATAATAATAATAATATAATGTTCTGGATAATCAGATGATAATAATAACAATTCTAATGATTATATATTAATAATGTCCTGGAGAATCAGATAATAATAATAATAATAATAATAATCCTGGAGAATCAGCCAATCAATATGAATATAATAATATTTTATTATTATTATTATTATTATTCATATAATAATAATACCCTGGAGAATCATATGATGATGATGATGATGATGACGATGATGATGATAATGATGTCCTGGAGAATCAGCTAATAATAATAATATTATAATAATATAATGAATATAATAATAATAATGCCCTGGTAAATAATAATAATAATAATAATAATAATAATAATAATAATAATAATAATAATAATATGATGATGATGATGATGATAATTATGTCATAGAATCATAGAGTTGGAAGTGACCTCATGGGCCATCCAGTCCAACCCCCTGCCAAGAAGCAGGAATATTGCATTCAAAGCACCCCTGACAGATGGCCATCTAGCCTCTGTTTAAAAACCTCCAAAGAAGGAGCCTCCACCACACTCCGGGGCAGAGAGTTCCACTGCTGAACGGCTCTCACAGTCAGGAAGTTCTTCCTCATGTTCAGATGGAATCTCCTTTCTTGTAGTTTGAAGCCATTGTTATCCTAGTCTCCAAGGAAGCAGAAAACAAGCTTGCTCCCTCCTCCCTGTGGCTTCCTCTCACATATTTATACATGGCTATCACATCTCCTCTAAGCCTTCTCTTCTTCAGGCTAAACATGCCCAGCTCCTTAAGCTGCTCCTCATAGGGCTTGTTCTCCAGACCCTTGATCATTTTGGTCGCCCTCCTCTGGACACATTCCAGCTTGTCAACATCTCCCTTCAATTGCGGTGCCCAGAAATGGACACAATATTCCAAGTGTGGTCTAACCAAGGCAGAACAGAGGGGTAGCATGACTTCCCTGGATCTAGACACTATGCTCCTATTGATGATGATGATAATGATATCCTGGAGAATCAGCTAATAATAATAATAATAATAAGAAGAAGAAGAAGAAGAAGAAGAAGAAGAAGAAGAAGAAGAAGAAGAAGATAATGTTCTGGAGAATCAGATAATACTAATATGAATATAATATTATAATACAATATAATATAATATAATATTATGATTTATTATCATTATGACTATAATACTAATGTCCTGGAGAATCAGCTAATCATAATAATATGTAATAATATTGTAATAATGAATATAATAATAATGCCCTGGAGAATCATATGATGAAGATGATAATAATAATGATGTTGTCCTGGAGAATCAGCTAATAATAATAATGATGATGATGATGATGATGAATGTAATAATAATCTGGAGAATCAGCTAATAATAATATATAATAATATTGTAATAATTAATATAATAATAATAATGCCCTGGAGAGTCTGATGATAATGATGATGATGATGATGATGATGATGATGATGTCCTGGAGAATCAGCTAATAATAATAATAATAATAATAATAATAATAATAATAATAATAATAATATAATGAATATAATAATAATGCTCAGTTCTTGTGGGTTTTTTAATAATAATGCCCTGGAGAATCATATGATGATTAAGATGAAGGTGATGAATCAGATAATAATGCCCTGGAGAATCAATGATAATAATATTAATAAGTAATAATATTGATGATGCCCTGGAGAATCAGATGATGATGATAGTAAATAATATTAATAATAAGAACAATGCCCTGGAGAAACAGGCAATCAAATAGTAGTAGTAGTAGTAGTAGTTGTTGTTGTTGTTGTTTTCGTTGTAATAACAACAACTGTGGCTTGGAGAATCCGATATTGGTGATATAATAATAATAATAATAATAATAATAATAATAATAATAATAATAATGCCCTGCAGAATGGTTCTGTTAAAAACCACAACTACAGACCAATTTCCAACCTCCCCTTTCTGGACAAGCTTCTGGAGCAGGTGGTGGCGTCGCAGCTCCAGGGATTCCTCGATGACACCGATTTTCTGGATTGCTCGCAGTCTGGCTTCAGGCCTGGACACAGTACTGAGACGGCTTTGGTCGCCTTGGTGGATGACCTCCACAGGGAACTGGACAGGGGGAGTGCGACCCTGCTGGTTCTCTTGGACATTTCAGCAGCTTTTGATACCATCGACCATGGTATCCTTTCGGGGAGACTCGCTGGGATGGGACTCGCGGGCACGGTTCTTCTGTGGTCCTTCCTGGAGGGTCGTTCCCAGTTGGTGAAGCTGGGGGACTCCTGCTCGGACCCCTGACCATTGGCCTGTGGGGTCCCGCAAGGTTCTATTCTGTCCCCCATGCTATTTAACATATACATGAAACCGCTGGGTGAGGTCATCCGGAGTTTTGGAGTGCGGTGCTATGCAGATGACACCCAACTCCACTACTCTTTTCCACCAGACTCCAAGGAAGCCCCAAGGATACTGAACCAGTGCCTGGCCCCTGTGTCGATCTGGCTGAGGACGAACAAGCTGAGGATCAATCCTGACAAGACAGAGGTCCTCCAGGTCAGTCGCTCATTTTGATATCGAGCTCTTTTGGAGGGGGTCTCCCGGCAGAGGAGATCCCTGAGGACCGCTCAAAAGGGCCCTGGAACCTTGGTGAGGCCGGCGAAAGCCAATCCAAAGACTAAAAATATTACAAATAATAATGCCTCATCAAAGTGGAAGAAGTTTCCAGCAACCGAGGTTTATTTGTGATTCAGCTGAGATCAGATGCATTGCAGGAATCATTCCACTGCAAGCATACCAGTACAAAGAATACAGGCATATTTATAGCATGCAGACAAAGGGAAACAGTTTCAAAATTCCCGCCCGCCCTCTGCCGGCCGGCTTCGTGCTGATTGGCTGGCCGCGGAACAGCTGGGAGGAGGCTTGGCGGCACGCCTCGCCCCCGGACCAATCAGCGGGCTCCGCCGCCTCTGGGGGGCCAATCAGTGCCTTCCTAGCGCTTCTGAAGATGGGCCAATCAGCAGCTAGGAGGCGGGACGAAGCTTGACAATGGCTGAGGAAATGATGAGCTTAGGGGCATCCGCCAGCTGGAATGTGAGGCTTTTGTCCTCACTGGCAGGGTGTGAGATAGGGGAACAATGAGTTTCCTGGTCTGTGATGGGATTTGGGGGAAATATGAAAAGGATTTGTCGATATCGGACCTCGGGGGGGTCAACGATACCTGGGTGATTTAATCAATCTTTTCTTTCCGAGTTTCTGTTGACCCCCTCCCCTCGCTGGTCTGCTCCGAGGGCCAGGGTTGGGGATTAACAGTATGGTCCATGCAAGTGAATCAATCAAGGGTGATTGAGGGAGAGGCTGGAGCCCTCCCTCAGGCAGTTCCTGGTCACAGCAGTTTTTGTGGGGCAAGGGGCAAGGGGACAAGGGGACAGAGGAAATTCATAAGGTTACATACATATATCAAAATCATAGGCAATAGGCATCACTGATACAGAGTTAGTTCATAAGAGGAACCCCCATCCCACCCCATAAAGTTTATTTCAATATTTGATCTTTATTAAGGTCCAAACTGGAAATCCCATGCTCTTAGGAAGGGCGTGTGGAAGCAGAGGTTGCTAGCAGTTCAAATCAAGCATTGATAGAAAGTTCATGGCCAGGGTTGTGGCAAACAGTCCAGTCCACTCAGCAGAGAGTCATGGATTCAGGCTGGAATCAGCAGATGGGCGCTGAGTTGATCAATAACAGAATCCATCGTTCAGCCCTTGGGGAACTACAACTCTCACAAAAGGGCAGAAGTCCCAAGATCCAGCCATTTCCCAAAAAGCCTCGTGGGGTCCTTGTTGTTGTCAGTGCCTTGGCAATGTGGCCAAGACTTAACCCTTGTTGTGTAGTCTGGTGCCCTTGCCCTTTGCAGAACTATAAGTCCTTATCCCTTAATTCTGAGGGGGGGGGAGTGCCTGACATCAGTGGGGTATTGGGTGGCAACCTGTGCTGGACGAGGTTGCACTCCCCCTTAAGTCACAGGTCCGCAGCTTGGGGGCCCTCCTGGATTCAGCACTGAGGTTTGATGCGCAGGTATCGGCGGTGACCGGGAGGGCTTTCGCACAATTAAAACTTGTGCGCCAACTGCGACCATACCTCGTGAAGTCTGACTTGACCATGGTGGTCCATGCCTTAGTTACCTCTAGATTGGTCTACTGTAATGCTCTCTACGTGGGGCTACCCTTGAAGACGGCCCGGAAACTACAACTGGTCCAACGCACGGCAGCCAGATTGATAACTGGGGCATCCTACAGGGAGCGGTCAACCCCCCTGTTTAAGGA